CACAAAACACTTGATTGCGCCGGTTATATGATGCTCGCTGCTAGGCACTGCGTCTCTAAGCACACAAATAAAATGGCCGAAAGGTGAGGAATTAAGCAAGGCTTTTTTAACAACAAATCACAAATCAGGCGTTTCCATCGAAAATTTTTTTAATAAAATTTCCGAAAATATTTTTCTTAATGAAAACCAGTCTGTCATACTTTCGCTGACTTCCTCTCGCGCTTGCGCAAGTGCAATTTCTCGTTTACGGTTTGCTTCGCAATTTTCACGGAGCATATCTCGCCACTGTTCGAAGCCAAAGCAGCCGGCCGCCGTCGACAACATGCCAAGAACGTCACAGGCCTAAATAAATGTTGTACCTAAAATTTCATCGGTGACTTTTTAACCAGTCAAGATTTACACACAGTTTTTCTAAGTGAATTTCACGGTTCTTATGTATAATGCGCGTATGACCTTTTTTACCGGTAATTATTTAGCGGTGTAATTCTGTACGACAGATTGATATATTGTAATCAGCATCGGCAATAGCAGGTGTATGAGGGATTAATCATACGGGTTTTCGAGTAGTACCCAAAGCTGTACCATCTAGGAAGTAATGACGTAGCCTCTGATGATTACATACTTTTATATTTCAATCAGTTAGACGTTGCTTTATTTCGGTCTTGCTTTCGAATATTAATCATTGGCGACGCGCACGGGGCGGCCTGTACGATCACGCGTTTTTGCAGTGTTTCGTGCTGTAATAAAACCACTCGAAATTCCACTAGCTAGAAACCTCTTGTACATACTGGTCCTCGAATTTCGAAAAGTTAATTATCACGCTATAAAAAACTAGGACAGGGAACATTCCCTTGAAATCGCAGGTTCCCAGCTTTCTCAGTTCCCAAGTAACCCAAACTGCAGCCAGAAAATTTCACGGGGTCGTACGTGGTAACCACGCATAAAGGGGGACTAAGTCTGATAATTTAAGTTATAGACGAGTTGGGAACATTTCCTGAAAGTATCAGCCTCCCAGCTTTCTTGGTTCCCGAGCTAGCGATTTTCGCGCCAGAAACCCTCACGGGGCCGTACACGGGAACCATGGACCCTTGGGGGCTGAATTTGAAATCTGTGAGTGCTATTTGGACTGGAAACATAATCCCAAAATTTCAGCTTTCTAGCTTTTCTGGTTCCCGAGTTAGCGATTTCCCCGCCAAAACTTTGAGACGCTCGTACGCGGGGCCTGGGCGTGCTTGAGGGTTGGTATCGCGGTCCTGGAGTGGCACTTCGCCGGAGAACCCATTCGCAGAACTTTGGTGCCGGAGCTTGCTTGGGTGCCGAGTTGAAATGCTCGGACAGATGCACACACACACACACCAAGGTCGTCACAATATTTGTTTTTGCATATATGCAAAAACGCATAAAAATTGTACACGAATGCTTTTCATTATTTTATAGTTACCTTTGAAACAACTGGAATGCATCTGATGATCGAAACAAAACAATATGTGATCGACATCGGCAACAAGAAAAACAATGAGCCAATTGCGAGCGGTATGGCTATGATCATCATTATCGGATACAGAAGCATCACCTAGTGCAGCGTACGTCTTATTTTTTCACGTGACTTTAAGCACACTGTATTGGTGATATAGCGTATTGCGTCAGTAACATAGAAGATAATAGTAATGATAGTATTAGTAATCATAGTGATAATAATGGCAGTAATTATATTTATAATAAAGTTCAACTGTAATGGCAAAAAAATCGAAAAGAGAATTAAGACGCGAAATATAATTTTCGGAAATGAAACATTACAATCCACTGGATCGTATGTATTCCATTTCACTATCATAAATAGACATTGCCTCTGCGCTAATAATAAGTATTTCGTGCACTTCACGCATACTTTTGCATTGACAATCAGATACTGAGGTGAGGTGATTTCAAGCCATTGGCTTCCATAAAAATTTTGTTCATGAAAAAGCGTATTTAACCAATCCAAAGTAACTGGTAACAAGATACACTGCTCTGGACATAGGCTACTTTTTGACTATTGCAACAACAACTATAATCTGTGGTTGACTACGATTAATTGATACCTACATTAATTTTAGCAGCCTTCCCGCAGAGAACGTATATTTATTCTTTATGTATCGAAATTTATTAATATTTTATTCTTTGGCCAGCTGCAGTTCACAGCGTCGTTTTTAAAATTTCCTATGTATTTTGATCAATGCTGCACCAACTTGCGATCAGCCTGCTAGTAATCAGCACATTTTATTATTACTGTTAATATTGCTATTATCCGTAATGTTGTCGTTGTTATTAATAATAGATTTCCGAAACGCAAAGCACACTATGGTTTTTTCATCGATACATGTAGTATTTTGGCATTATTAAAATGTTAATTAGCAAATGAGAACTTATTTCCTGAAAGCTATCTTTTCCAAACAGACGTTTGTCCTGCTTCTTCTCTACCCGTCCCACATTACTGCTTCTCGTGTCCTTTTGAAACTGGAAATAAAACGCCGTGATAAAAAACAATTTACGTGGTGCCCGAAACAATGAAACCATATCGAACGTAATCATTTCTTTCTCACCCAGTCATCTTTTCTTGTTTACGCATCAAATCTCTTCGCCGTTCAAGAAATGAACTTACCACAACAGTAATCGCTGGAGGTTTCATGTTCCTCCGGCGCATCTTTTCACGAATCGACCAGGTTACATAATAGGGAAACGAAAGCAGCACAAATAGTGGGCCAAAATACTGCAATCCACAATTATAAAAAAATAAGCGATCGGCTCAGTTTTCCAAAAGCAGTGGTGGAGAATGAAAGGAAACGAAGTGGCAAGAGCTGGCGAAGTGAGGAACTTAGTCGAAAGCGTACCGGCTGCCAGCACAAGGATGCGTTTTTTGCATAGTTCCCCCGCAGGTTTTTTTCGCCAGTGGCACGTTCTT